TGACTGGATCCTCTCTCCTGTGCAACCTTATTATCCTTATCTTAAACCTGACCCTCCAAGTTGAAATCCTTCATTTAAACAAGGGCTAGACAATTTCTATAGAACCTAGTACTAAACAGCTTAGGCTTTGAGGCTACACAGTTGTTATACTTAACCCTGCCATCCTTTCAAGAAATGGATGGTGGATCATACATTAGCAATCTACCTGACACCAGTACAGCTTTATTTACAAGAACAGGTGGAAAACCTACTTTCATCACTTTACAGACTCCTGCTCTAGGTCAGCTGATGTGCAAATTGTGACTATTTGGTGGTATATGTACAGTCTTCTATGACAGCCAGCATTTGGTTGTTTGTACTGTCTCAAATAGGAGCTTAATATAATTACCACTAAATCATTTTGAAAAGTTTCAGGATACACTAAACAACAGACAGAAATAAAATGTATATTGATTGGAAATGAAAACATAAAATTATTGGAAGTTACAATTTAGAAGACCACAATCCTCCAAACTGAAAGACAATCCCCTGAAATGTCTCTAGAATAATAGTACCCCAGATAAGCATTGCAGCTTGGATGGAAAAGTACGGCGGCAGTAGGGAGCTGATGAATGCCACAAAGTTACTGTAAGCATAGCAGCTTGCAGCTCTGCTCCAGAGAAAGGTTTCCCCAATGCAAATGCAAGACTCTGCTCCTGCAGGGGAGGGTTTCCCCAGTGAAGTTGTTACAGCTCCTTAAACCTGTTACAGCTCTGCTCCCCTAGGAGAAAGTTTTCCCAGCGGAAGTGTTACGGTTCTGCTCTGCTCCTCTTTGCTCCAGCTCTTATGACAGATATTACAGCTGGGCTCAGCTCAGGGGACAGTGTCGCATCACACAACAAACCTCACTGAAGAGATTTATTGGGAAGGAAGAATCCCGGAGGGTGGCTGCCTCAGGTGAGAAACAGCAGCAAACTGAACAGGGTACAGACCTTATATAGGGTTTCATTGTGGTGGTGGTGGTGGGGGGAGTGGAGCTTTCCAGGGTGGCTTTGGATTGGTGGAATTTTGTGGTACGATTCTGGGGCAAGCTCAGGGATTGGTGGCCTTTTGAGCTCAGAGATAGGTGGCATTTTGAGCTCAGGGACCTCAGGGATTGGTGGGATTCTGAAGTCTGACCCTGGGGCAAGCTCAGGGATTCGTATGATTTCCAGCCCGGCCCTGGGGTCAAGTCAGGGTCAGGGTGTTTTTACTTGGCCCAGGACTCAGGTCCAGTCAGGGGCAGGGTGTTTTTCACCCTACACCCAAAGCTACTTACAAACAGGAACCACTGGAGTGTTATCGTCATTAAACAGTCACACAACTGATCTAGTTGGCATTTAAAAGAAGAAAAAAAATCAAATAGGATAGAAAACATCCTTGTACGTAAGTAGACTGAGCAAGCACCGTTTTGTGAAACCTTGTTTTGGATTTTTATCACACACAAGTGTGCATACTGGTTGCTAAACTGAATCTATTTGCTGCTTTTGGGTGTGGTGTGAACAGGAGGAAGTTCTAAGTTACACACACACACACACACACACACACACACACACACACACAGAGTCGCACACACAAACAGAGAAAGAGGGAGAAGAAGAGGGAGAGGGAGAGGATTGTCTTCCCATGCTGTACAGCAACAAAACTTGAGTTGCTAAATAACTGTGATAAAGGGCATCCCAGAGAAAAGAAGCCCTTCTAGAGAGGCCACTGTAGGTCTTGAGGAGCTCTAATTGAGATCCACTTTAGAACCATAGCTTAAAGCACAGCTGGGCAGGAAGGCATGTCTGGTCTCCATCTACACTGCCCAGACCAGCTAGCCAGGGCTCAGCAGTTTTTTTCAATATCACCTCCTTTTCAGGTACTTGGTTCTCACGTAGCTAGACTGGTAAAACCAAAGGAAGTTTGGGAAGCAAATTTTCTCACATAAAGAATCAACAACCTTGTTTGGGATATGAAAAATACCGAAACCTCCATCTCACTGTCTTTTCTGGGGAGCTCCGTGGCACTCAGTTCTATTTATTTCTTTTCTCAAGCTACATAGCCTTGTTCATTCCCTTTCTGTATGTGTGGTGCAAAGATGCTTTAGGATAAGAATGGGTAGGATCCCTCTAGCTACTGGACTGTATATGATTCCCTAAGGAAATTGGACGGACGAAGGAGAGAATATATGTAGGAAGTGATTGTGCATGGCTCACTAAGACGCAACATTTGTGCTTTGGGGAAGAAGAAAGCATGCAGACTTCTAGAGGATAAATGTGGAAGCCGTGGAAAAACTAATTATATACCTTGGAGATAAATACATGTGTGTATGTGTGTGTGTGTGTGTGGGGGGGTTCGCACATGCACATGTGTGCAGGGCTGCATTTTGAAACCTTGTTTCAGAAAAGTCATATTATCTGTGCGCTAATAATCAGTTTCTAACACATGCAAGGCCCTCTCCTAAGAGTTAGATACACTTGGTGTCTGTTCTTTTAAGTTCATACTCTTGTAGGGAAGAGAAATAGTAAGTCACCATTGCATACACAAAGATTGTTGGGCGTAGCTTTCCACGGTTGTGTATCTGGATATTAATTGAATCTGACTGTTAAGACTATGAGGACAGCTCTTTATCTTCATTTATGTTTTCAAGTTCCAAGAAAATATGTCATCAATTTAACAAGAAAAACAGTCAAGTGAAATGAAGACCATTAAACTCTGAAATGAGCTTTGTCCTCAAATACCTTAAATTTTTGCATTGATGTATCTCTGTCAGCCTTCTCTAATCTGTGCATGTTTTTACTGGGAAGAAATAGCAGACAGCAACATACGCCAGTTTTCAAAACTCACATTCATTACACTGGTTGAGGGCTCAGAGCCACATGTCCCAGCTCTTACAAATCCCTGGATGTAACAGTGGAATGCAAATATTTAGACTCAAGATATTTTCATAGGTGCCAACCTTTTGTCTTAAGATGGTTCAAATTAATAAAGAAAAAATATACAATGCAGCACAACTTTCCTGTCATAATTTTTGCAGTGCTAAAAGTAAAATACTTGTTAAGTAAAATATTTTGACATCTTGAAATTTATGCACTTTTGTACTTAGTATCTACTGGAAATTAAAATTTCATTAGGTTAATACAGATTTGTTGGGTATGTCTACGTAATGATTATTCCAGTGAAATACAACCACACAAAACTAACTTATTGTTTAAAAATTGAATAGCTTGGTTCTGATGTGCACCATGTCAAAAAAAATAAGAATAATATAGACTAAAGTTTATAAATTTCCTCCAGACCTTTTTTCCTTGTTTTATTTTTGTTGCAAAAATAATAATAAATAACAAATAGTGTCCTTCACTGCTCATTTCAATGAGTTGTTATAGCATCAAGTAGACATTAGGTCAGGATTCGCTTATGTTATAAATTTATTTCATTATAGTGAGTGCAAAGGTAAAACTTTTTACTGGATTGCAAACATTCTTCATCATAAGATGTATAATAATTTGAATGAAAAACAACTCTGTGTATAAACAGATGTGTGCCTATGTGATATATATGTACTACATATATATGTGTATATGCATATATATATATATATACATGTATAAAACAGAACATAATAGACTCCTGCTGCTGACTGAGTACATGAACACTTATTTGTCTTAATGTATCTTAGAAATCATTTCAAGCAGAACAAATAAAACTTAGTTCTGCCTTTCAGTGGCTGTGTAGTATTTCCTGATCAGAAGATCCCCCTAAGATTTCCATGTAATCAGTAAATTTACAACTTAGGAAAGGAAATCCAGACTATGTGAAGGTTTGTACACTGTGTCAGTAAAGCGACAGCATGTGCTCACCTGGAATCTTGTGATCTCCTGATTGGAATCTTGTGAACACATCACTGTACTGAGAAACTGAAGCACATAGGGCTTCAAAGGAGGCAGATTTGTGCAATGGTACCCATACCCCAAACTAAGTGACTTCCAGATTCATTTTAAATATATTTAGGCAAGTGATTCATCATACAGTTTTGTGTGACACATTCATGGTGTGTGTGAACCACTATCCTTTTCAATTAAATTAATTATGCATTTATTTATACAAAATATTAATATTTTAGTGTATTCTTGAAGCTCTCATAAAAACATCACATGTTCTATATTGGATTGCTTATCACACAGTGTAAACTGGAGTCCCGAAGTACAGATGAGGTGGATGAGCCGCCAGTTAAAATACATCAGGGTTAGGATTAGTAAAGCTCATGAGGAAAAAGTTGGTGATGTTTTAATAATGCATGCCTCTGTAGCAATCAATGTGTTCTTAGATTTTTTCTTTAGTCTTATGCTAAATATTTTGACAATGCTGTTTTATTTCATGATTGTACCAAGGCCATTTTAATTAGTACTCTTTTGAAAGTTTAGGAAATAAAAACATATAATACATATGAAAATATTTTGATTATTCTTTGAAAAACTAAAAATATAGATAATGTTCTTTTAGTTTCAGCTTAATGTTGCAATGTTTTCTGTGGAAGCTATAACCTAAACTACTATCATAATGTTATCATTTCCCTGAATAAAGAAGTTTGCAAATATTAAAAACATTTATCCAAAATAAACTCTTAAAGCAGCATGAGCATTGTGTTTGGTAGTGAAAACTGATATGGTTAGTGATTATGCTTCTGGTACTCATTAGTTAAGGATAAGCAAAAAAAAAAAAAAAACCTCTGGAAGAACAATTCTTTTTTTTTTTTTTTTTACTAGGCAAAGAATTTTATTAACCCTTTTCCAAACTTTATTCCCAGGCTTCTTCAGCTTAATTTGCTGCAAAGAATGAATTGTGTTTAAGCAAAAACTGAAAGAGCTGCGGTGTCCAAGGGGCTCGGGCTTAAAAATATTAGCGATCTAGATTGTATCAGATCCATAAACAAAAGAATTTTAAAAAGCAGTCATGATATAAAATAGCAGCTTCTGCAGGTGTCACCTTCTTCAGAAGTCGCCTCAGTTTAGTTTGCCTTGTTCTTAGACGCCTCATCAAAATTCTCCACCAGATCTGGGACTTCATCATCATCATCCTCTCCAGTAGCAAGTGGTGCTTTTCCATCCACAGATTGTTTGGGCAGAGCTTCAGGCAGTCTCCTTAAACTAGTCAGACTGTCTGCCCCGAGCTGGTTTAGGATGCTGGGAAACATTTCTGTCAGCTGCTTTGTCTCAGCGTGGCCTGTAATGGTGAAGGTGTTTGCTGCCAGAGACGCCTGAACTTTAGGGTTGTTAAAATGGATCACTGTTCCTTGGTTTGTAAACATGTTCACCTCTTCAATACCAGAGATATTGTTCACTCCTAACTTCTTTAAGGGGAACTGCAGTTTTTTATCATCTGCTGTGGCTGTTCTGTGAACCACCTTCTTCTTTCTGCGAGCAGTGCCTTTTCCACCAATGCGTACTTGTGCCTGAAGTTTGGCCAGTTTCTCCTGGTTCATGATCGTTTCTTTCATCTTGTCGGAGTGGAAATGGGGCCGCGCGGGGGACTAGGGTTCGCGCTCAGGGGGTCTCGGGCAGACCAGCTGAGATAAGGCGCACACACGCGGGGACGCAAAATGGCAGCTCGGAAGAACAATTCTTATGCCTAAATCTATGATGTGAACTGCTTTTGGACTCCTGATATGATTTTGATACATGGAGAATGGATATCTTAAAGATTAGTGTTAAGATAGCGCAATGTTTTACTGGGATTAAATGATGCTTCATACAGTCATGTAAATAAACAAGAGTCGGCATAGAATCAATACCAAGCGAAACGTTCTTGTTCTGATTTTCCCCTCCTCCTTAGCTTGACAAGAGAGAGAAAGATACTGCCTACTGCTTCTCCCTGGCACTGTTCATAACTTTACATATTTCATTGTATTTATAAGGGAATTTTTTGGACAAATTACATTTTACCTGATTAGAATTAATATTGGGAGGCAATGAATGTAGAATTCCCAGAGAAATGGTGTTTGGGGAAGTGATGAGTTTGAAGAGGGATCTTAGAGTCCACGGGAAAGTTAGGTGATGAGAAATGGGGTGATGCATGCATGTGGTTCCAGCCGTTACATCCCGCAGGAAGAGCTCTGAGGCTGCGATGATCCTTTGGGTGCACCTGATTCTGGCTTTTACCCTTCCATGGACCAGTCCCAGATGTGGGCTACCTAGGGAAGGAGCTTGACCTTGGGCAAAGAGCCTCTCTACACTACTGCACAGTCACCAGTTGAAAGTTTTGACAGCTGAACTTTGTTGGCAATCCTCTCAAAAAATATGGGAATAAATTCCTTTATTCCCATAGGATGTTGTCTATCACATATCACAGTTACTGTCATCAGATGGAGGCAAAGAAGGAAAGAATGACCCCAGAAAGCCAGCTAAGAAACAGAAATTTTGTTAAGAGAATGGCAGATGAGAGAGGTGAAGGATTTCTGTAGCAATGGATTCTATACTTATCCACTCCAGACACTAATAAATACTTTCTAAAGGAACAATTCCTATTATTTGTTTATAATCAAGAGATTACCCATTTATACTTCATGTTAGTGTGTATAACATTGGGTGGTGGTGGTACACACTTTTTATTCCAGCAGTCAGAAGGCAGAGGCAGGAGGATCTCTGTGAGTTCAAGGCCCAGCTAGAGCTGTTACACAGAGAACTTCTGTCTCAAAAAACTAAAAAGAAGAAAGAAAGAAAGAAAGAAAGAAGAGAGAGAGAGAGAGAGAGAGAGAGAGAGAGAGAGAGAGAGAAAGAAAGAAAGAAAGAAAGAAAGAAAGAAAGAAAGAAAGAAAGAAAGAAAGAAAGAAAGAAAGTCACTTCTGGTGTTTGTTTGTGATAAAAGGCATTTTTGTAAACTTATTCAGAAGAAACTTTTTGAGCCAAAATTCCCTTATAGTTACTTGAGAACTTTTGTAAAGAGAACTTTTATTTAACTTCATAATTTCTAAATTGAAGAAAATGATGTTACCTACCCACAGACTATTGTAAAGAGTTACCTGATAACACAGTTCCCAAACCATGAACACTGGGGGAAAACCCACCTCCAAACTGCAGCATCCACAGGTCTATACCTTTACTTCCTGTGCTCTTCTCCAATATACAATGAAAACAGTCTGGGGAACATAAGTAATATTTCATTGGTAATATTTATCTATATGTATAATGTTTTTATCCATTAATCCTGATTTATTGCTTTTTTGTTTTCATTTATTCAAGACATTTAACTCAATTTATAATTCTTCATAAATACTATATTTATTATTATTTTCCTTTGTCTATCTCCTGAAAACATTTGGTGACTGATTTTACAAACATCTAACAAGCACGCCAATGCCCACTTCCCATCCATGAATCGCAGTGTAAGAAAAACGACTGTGAACAAATGCTCTAGTTGTTCAAGGTACTCCCATCGTCCCTGGTGACGGACAGTTTAGCAAGTCAACTAGTGAAGAAACTGCAGCTGGGATGTGGTAAAAAGGGAGCTGCGGAGTTTGGCCTCATCATGACACTAGGTGACAGGGCTAGATATGGGGAGACCAAAGGTACAGAGCCTTTGAAGGACACATCCTAAGAATAGCACATTTTATATAAAAATGTGAATACAGTTTCAGTGATGGAATAATTAATACATCCTACCATCTTCAAACTCAAGTTCTTGAAGGATTTTAGACATTACTTATTCCAAGACTTTGACACAATCCCTAGATAGTGCCTACAAGCACATAGCTGTTGTGAATTCATCTTTTTTGTAAGAATGCCGGCTTTTAGTTGACAAGGAATGGTGTGGACATGTAGATCATTTTCAGTTAGGAACCATTTTCTTCCAGACACCTTGTTTACTCTAGCTCCATGCTTGGAACATTCTAAAATGTGGTAAGATTATTTTACTTTATGTTATTTGTCCAATTACCTTTCTCAGCCAAGGCTAGCTGGAGAGCCATCCTTGAAGCCTTACTCTAACTCCTGTAAGTGGATACAAAACTTTCTCTCCTATTCTTGACAGGTTTGTCAGTCACACATAATGGTGCTCTGGAATATAAAATTAGACTAGCTCCATGCTTGGAACATTCTAAAATGTGGTAAGATTATTTTACTTTATGTTATTTGTCCAATTACCTTTCTCAGCCAAGGCTAGCTGGAGAGCCATCCTTGAAGCCTTACTCTAACTCCTGTAAGTGGATACAAAACTTTCTCTCCTATTCTTGACAGGTTTGTCAGTCACACATAATGGTGCTCTGGAATATAAAATTAGACTCGAGATGAATGTGAGTCTATGTTAGGGTAATCAGAGTTGTAACCCTTAAATTCTCGGACATGAAAAGAGATCTGTCCAAGTATAGTTTTTGGCCATTTGACAGCTGATTTTGGTCACATTGAGCCTCCTATCCATAGATAAAAATAAGAAAATACAATCAAATACAAAGCTAGGGGAGGAGAGAAAAAGGGAAGGAAGTATAGAGGAACCCTCCAAGTTTCACTTTTAATGCTCAGCCCAATTAGAGAAGTGGTTCTATCCCAGTTTTCTGCTTCAGTGATCCCACCCCACATTTGTGCTCTATGACTTACAGTTACTATTGTGGGTTTCCATCATTCCTTAGCTTTTTCCAGCCCTCTTCATGGTCACAACAGACCCTTAATCAGTCATATTTACTAATGAATGTTCTGTACTTGTGGGATTACAATAGTTACTTACCTAGACATGATAAATTTAGAATGAAAACTTGTATGCATAGATTATCTGGGGTTCACAAAATGTTTGATAAATTTCTTGAAAGCAAGGTTTCGTCCTAATGAGAATTTTTACTTTACCATACTTGTCATGTATAATTTGTGTATTACTAATTTTTGACAGTATGATTTTACGCTAATTATCAAGAGTATGCAATGATAGCTCTCAGCTCTTCTATTTGTCTGTTGTCTCCCTGGTTCCCTCAGCATTAGCAAGAAGGCAAAGGCATAGTCAAATGCATCGATACAGTCACTGCAGGAGAGTTAGGCAGATGCTCTCCCCTCAGTATGTCTAGCTACAGGACTGTTGGATAGAGGAGAAATGGCCTTTCTATCATTTAACAAGTGCACAGCTTCTAAGCACCTGAAGGGCTACTTCCCAGGGAGTTATCAAATTCTTTAGCTGATGCTGAAAGCACTTATGTCACATTCCAGCGATCACTATGTGAACCATTTCAAATACTCTGTTAGAATGATAGCCCTTCACAAGGGGTAGAATGGGCAACTTGAATATTCTTTTAATCTCAAGCTTTGTCTGGGAGATTTTTTTGTAGAGACACAAAGGACTCATTATCTAAAAAGTATTTACTTCATCACTTCAGAGCATATTTCCCAGATACTTAAACCTTTTACAGTATAGTACAGTACATTAAGCCGCCCCTCTCAGAAGACTCACAGCGTAGACTAATAAATCATTGCATTTTCATGGAATTTCACTATATTTTTTGTTGTTCTCATATGTCCTTCTGAAATGTATTTCTCTTAAATATTAAAATTAACCTGAGAATGAATATTTAAATAATTTTATTTTAGTCAAAACATTTTGCAACTGGTTTGTACAGGAGTGGCCACCTTGATAATAAGGTCTTCAGTTTCATTCACACTTTCGGTGCCAATATCCATAATTGTATGCATGCTTACATGAAAGCGAATAGTGATTTAACTTGTAGAGGAAGCTTGACAATGATGTTTATCTATGTCAATCTTTATGGTTTTGACAGTAACAAATTAAATTTTGTATCTGGTCAGTCACTCTGGGACTAGAATCTGTAGTACTATTTATTTAATAGATTAAATAATTGAGGTGAAATATGCAGGAATTTAACATTATACCCAATTGGACCTTGGTTTATTTATAAGATGCTTACATTAGTACTAATTGACCAGTAAATCTTTCTCCCTCCATGCTTACCTGCTCCAGGGAAAAAGTGGAACCTTGAAATCAGATCACTGAGGGACTGTTTTCAGTCCCTAGGGATGGCACAAAAGTGCTCCATAGATTCAATTCCATTGAACAATAGAAATCTGTCCCCTCATGATTCTTGAGATTATAAGGCGGAAGTCAAGGTGCCTAGAGGGCCAGGCTCCTTCTGGAGAGTCCAGGGAAGCATGCTTCCTTGCTACTTGCAGCTGCGTCACTCATTTCTTTTTAAATCCAGTCACGTGGGCTTCTCTGCTATGTCTGAATTTCAGATTTCCCTGATCCTGTGAGCTCACCCTAATCCAATATGCTTTCATTACCTTGATTATTTATGCAAAGACAATATATCCAGATGTCACCAATCTGCTGACCCATGGTTCTTTTCCTGTACGTCTGCAGAAAACGTGGGTGTGTGTGGGGTGGGGGGCGGCAAAAGTCTTGAATGGTGGCTTTTGTTTCCTGAGTGTTTAACAACAGTGAGCAATAGCATTAGGCACCAGAGAGCAATAGAGTGGTGCTCTTCAATGTCGGAGTGTGCTTGAATGACTGAGGCATGTGCACTCCTTTGCCCTACAAGTGTCTCAGTCCCTAGGAGTGCCTCAGGTATCCTAACAACTTGGCCATTGGTAGGAGTCAAAGTTACAGCTCTCA